TATATATATATATATATTAGTTTATATATTCTGCTAGCATTTTGGGGCCCTAGGGGAGTAGGCACAGTAGTATCAGCGAGACCAGGAATATCTTTCTCCCCCATTTTTTACAATGACTAAGTTGAGAATACTGAAATTGACATCCACAATACAACCCTGAACAGATTTTCACTTTCTCTCTCCAGTCCTCTGTGATCTATAACAGAACTGCCCCTTACTCAACAGCAGACAGATATGGCCATGGGTCAAGGCATCCTGCTTCATGGGGAAACCGTGTTTGTCCTTCCCACAACTGATTAGAACCACATAACTTTTCTATTCTCCCAGAGTGTTAGCAGCAACTTCTCTGGTCATATGCTTCCCGAACAAAGTTACAAAGGTTGCATTCATCATCCACTTGTATGAGTTTCTGGCAGCCAGTGGTTGGGAAAGAGATGGTTAGCTTCATCCTGAAGCAGCCTACAGCCAGCATGTCAAACTTGCGGCTGGCGGGCCACATGCCTCATGAATTTGACATGCTTTGATGGCATCCCAAAAAAAGAGAAAAGTTGAGTTTTATGCTCAGTGGCAGCAGCATCAATTTTACTGGCATGTGTAGATATCTCTTAAGCCAAGTTTAGTTTATTTATGAGTTAGAATATAGAAGACAGCATTTTAATTTAGTCACATTAATCTCATTTTACTTTCCCAGAATTTACTTTTTAATTTGTCCCATTTTCATTCAAGACAGTAATGCTTTGCTCTCTGGATATTTTCTGTTTTGAAGTTTATTTTTTGATAGTCTGTATTATTTTCCTAGGTCTGCTGTAACACAATACTACTAAGTGTGTGGCTTAAAATAACAGAATTTATTTTCACACAGTTATGGAAACTAAAATCCAAATTCAAGGTATCATCAGGGCCATGACCTCTCACAGCTCCAGGAATGGATCCTTCATGCCCCTTCCTAGCTTCTGGTGGTTGTTCCTGATCAAACTCTGTGTTCATGGGGTGTTCTTGCGTGACTGTCTCTGTGTCTCTTGTTTACCCCTTTATAAGGACAGCAGTCATTGGGTTAGGACACACCCAACTATTAATTTAAGTAACTTTATCTTAAGTAATTCTATCTGCAAAGATCCTGTTTTCCAATAAGATCATGGTCTTATTTTCTAGATGGACATATTAATACATTTTGAGGGAGTACTGTCCAACCCAGTCTACCCTCTGGACCCCCAAACTTATGTCCATCCCACTTACAAAAGTCACTCACCCACTTCCAACATCACCCAAATATTTTAACCCTTTCCAGCATGAAATCTTAAGTCCAAAATCTTATCTAAATATTAACTTAAAAAGTTCCAAATTTCGCCACCTAAATCAGGTATGGTATGGTTCTCTCCTGGGATAATATCCTGCTCTTTTCACAGACCTATCAAATTACAAAGCAAGTTACCTGTTTCCAAAATACAATAGTACAACAGGTATAGGATAAATAATTCTCATTGTGAAAGGGAGAAAATGGAAAGAATGCAGGGGTTACTAGTCCGAAGGAAACTGGCAATGCAGCTGGGCAAATCTCATGATATTTCAAGGCCTGAGAGTGTTAATATTTAAGAGATATTTTTATTAATTTTTGGAGAGAAAGGGAGAGGGAGAGAGAAACATCGATGTGAGAGTGACACACTGGTCGCCCCCACCTGAGATTGAGCTCACAATCCAGGCATATTCTCCGACCGACCGGGAATCAAACTGGCAACCTCTCTGTGTTCAGGACCATGCCCAACCCACTGAGCCACACTGTCCAGAACCTGAGAGTATTTCTTTATGTTTGACCTTTTTCTATTACTTTAAACTCACTTGACACTCTGGGGCAGTAACCTAACTTTCCTGGTTTCTACATCAGTATTCTTGGAGTCATTTTCATTTCATTTTGTCCCATCTTATTCATCTCAGTGTTTCTTATCAGTACAAAATTCTTAATAACTTTGTCTCCTGTGGACATTCAGGGAATCCACACCATTAGACAAGAGTATCCTCCCAAGATTCTTCCTCTATAACCCCATTTGTAATCCTGTCTTTCCTTGAGCTGATTGATTGGGCCCTAAGTCTTCTGTCTAATCATTATACCAAAGGACTCTCCAGCCACACCTTTGTTCTTGTTCCCGGAGCATGATTACTGGATAGACAAAAAATTTTCCAAATTAATCTCTTTTATCTCACATTTTACTGTAACCAACAAAAAGAAACCCGGCTGCACATACCACCCTTTTCTTGGAAATTTTTTTTCAGCTAAATAGTCAAGTTCATTACTGATAAGTTCTACTTCCTGTCCAACAATGTATTTAGCCAAGTTTCCTGCCACTTTATAACAAGAATTGCCTTTCAGTGTCCATTAGCATTTCCGTCTGTGACCTCAAGAGAATCACCTTTAACATTCACATTTCTATCTACATTCTGTTCATGATAATACAGCCATAAATTTATTCTCTAAGACGATAGACACTTTTCTCTACAGCTATTA